TAGGGTTCTGGGGTTTGGGGTTAGGGACACATCAGAAGACAGGGCTCAGAGCTCTCCCTGCACTGCGAAAGCGGGTGTAACTCTGGAGTAGGACGAAACGTCCTGCCACGAGACCCGACCGAATGCCATGCATGGTTTCAAGGCACAGGCCGAAGGGTGGAAAGGTTTCTCTGAACTCTAACCCTTTAGGGTTAGGCTTCAGGGTTTAGNNNNTAGGGTTTAGGGTTTAGGGAAGTAAACCCCAAGCCAAAACCTGAACTGCAAGCCTATAGGAGTTGCCAGCTCCAGTGAAGTGAGAGAGGCTTTTGCCGCCCTTCCTCGCAAGCCTTTAGGACACTGTGGGACTCTCCAGACGCCCTATTGAATCGTCTGGACGAGTCCCGCCGCTCAGATTTATCGCTTCACTTAGAGCCACAGTTTCCAATTTTTGGCGGTGTGCGCTGCAGGTTTCGATGATTTAGGGTTTAGGGTTTAGGGATTAGTGTTCGTATCACCAGTCTTAGCATTATTATTGTTCTTATGTTTATCACTACATTCTTCTCCTTACTATGTGCCACGCGTCGGGGCATCCATCTTCCACTGCATAGGCCCTCGGCCGTAAGTTCTAGGCTCCAGGACTCAGGGCCCAGAACCCGAAACCGGTAGGTTTGCCTAGGTCTCTTACATGTAGGGTTCGCCAGAGCATAGGAAAGCAGAATCAACGACAGCAGCTCCGAACGGCAGTAGCAGCAGCAGGGAGCAGCTGACTCTTAAACCTCCCCATCATGGGCACGGTAAACCTTAAACCCTAAACCCTAAGCCGACTAGGACCATCATGGGCACGGTGGGCCGCGTCACTGCCGTCCAGAATCTCCATAAAAGTTCTGGCTTTTGAAGCTTTCGTCGGCTAACCCGCAGCGCGACACAGACGCGGTTAAGACTGCACCTAGTAGGCCTTGTTATCTGTTGTATGCAGGCTGTGCAGCTGCCAAAGGGCGTACCTGTCAGCCATCCGCAGTGGAAAATCATGCTTGTACTGGCTTGACCCGAACCCGTTTATGGCTAGAAGTCCTACGTTCCAATCCCTCTACCCCACAGTCTAAGTTTCGATGCTGAGGATCTTGAAAGCTAAGTTTCTGGGGAGTTGAACGAATCCTTCCTGCAGAAGCAGGAAACCTAAACCTCAAAACCCTAAACCCTAAAACCCTAGTACTGGGCTCCCGGTTTTCGAGGCTTCTGGAGTATCCGGCAAGGGAGTGTCTTCCGCTCGGACCCTCCTCCACCTAAACAGGCTGTAGCAGGTCCCAGGCTTCTTTAAGGGTTCTTGTTTAGGGTTTACCTTAAGAACCNNTATAGGATTTATAGGGACCCTACAAATTGGGGTTCTTAAGGTAGGGTTCTTCGTGGGTTCTTTGAAGGTTTTTGGGGGGGGTTTTGAGGCGTTTGAGGGTTTAGGCAACGTAATCCCAGCTTCTGGCTCCTAAATCATGCGGCCTACTGCAATGCCCCTCGTGGGCACGGTGGGTACTTGGAGGTTCATGGGTA